GACTCGGATTGCATAAATCTAATAATTATTACATCTTAGCAGGGGATCTGAACGCCAAACACGGGTCCTGGGGTAACACCATAAACAATAGCAGAGGTGTAGCGTTGAACAAATGGACACGAGAAAACGAAATTCCATACAGAATTTCTCTACTCAAAACAGCCGTACCGTCTTTCCTATCAAGCGGAGCCTTCATAGACATTTGCCTAGCAGACAGAAGAATTAAATTCCACAACACACCCCGCCACGAAACACTTGACTCGTTCGAATATGACAGCGACCACAGAGCCGTCAAAATACAGATATCCATCCCCTCGCTACAAATACTTGAAATAGACGAATCAACAACACCCCAAAGATACAACTTCAATAAAGCCGACTGGACAGAATTCAAAAACTTTCTCACAGAAACGGACGATACAACCTTACCAAACAACAGAAACCTATCTATACGCGAAATCGACAATTACATTGACAAATTCAGCCGCAATATAAACAAAGCGATCGACCACACAACCCCACGAATACAAAAAAGTTACAATTCAGCCGACAAATACATAACGCCACTCATCAGACGACTACGCAAACAAAAAAGCAATCTCATCACACAAATAAATAGACTAACAAGACCTGAAAACTACACTTCTACAAACGACTCACTAATAACAGCATTCAAAAACACACTCAAAACAGTTAGGTACGAACTGAAAAAAGCTTTTCACCACTCTGCCAACGACTACTGGAAAAACAAAATAACAAACATACACCCGCGCAACGCCTCAAACTTCTTCCCGTCAATCAATAGCATACTTCGACCCAAAGAAACGAACAACGTAGAAACACTCAAAATTCCTAAGACGAACATACTCCTTTTTCCAAAAAGCACAGATAAATCCCGACAATCAACAAACAGACAGCCAGAAAAACATCGTCATAACAGACACTGAACAAAAACTAAAGATTCTAGGCGCACATTTCGAATCAGTACACACGCAAAACTTACACATGGGCAAAGAACAACTCTCAAACATAATTAAACAAAATATTCACACACGCGAACAGGTGATAACTCAAGACAGACTCAACAACAAAACGACATGCACATTCGGCGATACCAACACAGCGGAAAACCCAGACGAAGACAGAATCCCTCCAGACTACTTTTCCTCACACGCAAAACTGAAACTGATACTAAAAAAATTAAACAATAAAAAATCGTCCAGCTTTGACAATATCCCGAACATAGTCCTCAAGAACCTTCCACTCCACTACACACACAATTACACAATCATATTTAACAACTGCCTCAACCTCACGTACTTTCCCACTGCCTGGAAAACAGCAAAACTAATTGCGATAAAGAAAAAAGGAAAGGATGGTAGCAACCCGGCTGATTACCGTCCTATTAGCCTACTCGCAAACATCAGTAAAGTATTCGAAGCATCAATCAACAACGCCATAAGCAAACACTGCGACAAAAATAACGTTATCCCAGAAACGCAATTTGGGTTCAGACACAAGCATTCCACAACGCACGCTATCAGCAAACTCACGTCGGATATCTGCTGGGCCAGAAACGCAGACGAATGCGTCGGGGCGCTCTTTATAGACCTACAGAAAGCTTTCGATACGGTCTGGTGGGAAGGCCTCTTTTTCGAACTAATAAAGAAGGGATTCCCACAACATCTGACCAAAATGATCTGGAGCATGCTTCATGGAAAAAAATTCAGAGTGGCGGAAAAATCATACGCTTCCACGGAAACCTTTCACATTAAAAACGGACTCCAACAAGACACAGTCAACTCCCCCATCTTGTTTAGTATATTTATAAGTGACTTACTCAACATGTACGGACTCAACAACGACCACGACAAATTCGCAATAGCCTTCGCGGACGACTTATTAGTACACATAAAAGACAGCAAACCCTCAAAAATAAAAATACAGCTACAGGACATACTTAACAAAATACAAGACTACCTCCACACGTGGAAACTAAAAATCAACACAGACAAATGCGAAACAATCCTCTTCAGACCTTACATCTCAAAAATCTCGAACGCAAACACGGACGTACGGAAACATACCAAAAACTTCCACCTACAGGACACGCACAACGCACAGACAAAACTACAAAACAAAAACATAGTACGATATCTAGGAGTACACATAGACTACAGACTAAACTACTACAAGGAACTAAACACCGAAACAAAAACTACCTGCTACAAATCACCAATACGGCCAATACTAACGTATGCCTCACACATTTGGTTCAACGTCTCTGCGAGCACAATGGAAAAACTGAGGGTAATAGAAAGGAAATGCCTTAGAGCCTGCCTGGGCAAATACAGAACACCGGAATCAAACTACACAAAACTAATCAGCAACCACAAACTATACGAATACGCCAACATAACCAGAATAGACTTACACATACTAAAACTCATAAGAAACCACTGGGCAAACATCAGAAACGTAACAAACAATAGTCTCATATACAGCTCCACATACCCCAACCCACAATACCACGAAAAGACACGACACACAGGATACATCCCACCAGAAGCATTCACACACCTCGACAGTCAAGGATACATACAGGACAAAGACAATACACCACTCATCTACCACACCACACGCAAAGCAGACAACAAAAAGATTCTCTACTCAACGGACATAAATGACAACGACACAAACACACGACTCAACTACAAACTCTCAAAAATAGATAAGAAAGACACACACCGACGTAACAAAAAGAAGTACTGGTGGTTACAACACTAACCACTTAACAACAATGAAACAGAAATACGAATAAACAAAAAACAATTGACACTAAATCCTCGTTAGTATAGTGGTCAGTATCTCAAAATTTTAAAAACGATAGGCGCCGAGCTTAAGCGATTTATTATCGAATATCAGCACTGCGAAATTTCTTATCGAACATCCGTTAGGACCTCGTTTTAACACGAGCATTAATATATGTATCAAATAACCTGCCTCACGCG